CCCCAAAACCCCAAAACCCCAAAACCCCAAAACCCCAAAACCCCTGGTTTTTTATAATTTTTGAAATATATTAGGCTATTGTTAAGTACAAAAGCAAAGAGCTTAGCCATAGAATATATTCTAGTTTTCTGGTGAACTCTTTCTTACAAGCTAAAAGAGACACTTGTTAGGTCCATGTCTCCCACTGGGTGGGTAAGCATAGAACCTTATCAGCTGTCTGAGATGGGGTGAAGTTTTTGGAATTCAAATTCAGAGAAGCAGCTGACCCAAACTTTTTGCATTCATTGTGCTTCTGACTCTTGTAAATCTTAGATCTAAGACTGAGCTTTGTCATTGAGGATCTTAGTTCTTTCACTTCTTCTAAATAGAGTTAGCCCAATCTAGGCCAAAACATACCTGTCTCATCTGGTAGCTTGAGCTTAGAAGGCGTCTCAGATGCCTTTGTTTCCTTTGATGTATTCTATTTTATTCGAGTTAGGTGAGACTTCTATCTTACCTCACTTTCAGGAGATAGGAACTTTAGATCATTATGCTTGCTATAACTTATCTTTGGATGGAGGTCTTCCTCTACCATTTCTGTAGAGGTGTCTTCTTTACTATCACTCTCTTCAATACTGTCTATTTCTTCTTTGGTGTCCTGGTCTTCATCAAAATATCCTGATGACTCAAAAGGAGTCTCTTCAAGATTGGATGCATGAGCTGAGCTTGGAGTAAAATAAGGAGCATCAGGACTTAGTTTAGCTTTATTATTTTTGGGCAAAAAGCAGCATGAATTAGCATTGAGACTCTTCTTTTTGTCCGAAATTTTCTTTTTTGGTATGAATGGCTTCACCTCCTTTATGTCAGACTTCTTGAAGGATTTTGAATCTTTCTTTAACTTTGGATTATATGTATTAGGGAGCTGGAGGTAGATTATTTTATCATTTTTAGCTTTTGTGAAGACGAAATCGTAAATTTCATAAACTCCAAGATTGTTTTTGATGAAGTCAGCAGTGATCTTGTCTTTGACTCACCCGGGGACACCAATGTTAAGCCCGATGAATATTACATTTTTAGTAATATTTCTCACTATTCCCTTTAGAATATCTCCTGGTTTCAGTAAGGTAAGTTCCTTATCTCTGTTCATAAAAGCTAATTGGTTGCAGACGAGAGCTTCTTCGATGACCTTTTTAGCCAGTGCGTTTTGTTCATACTGGAACTCAGCTTCCAAATTTTGGAAGAGTTCTCTGAAGTAGAAATAGAGCTCTGGGAGTAAATTGACGTCTTGAACTGCATATTCCACCATTTCTTGGGAAAGTGGCCTTTGATACCAGAAATAGGGATCATTTTTCATTTTTTCATGAATCTCCTTCTTGTTAGTGTGCTTTGTATCAAGGAATTCCTCCATTAGTGATCCAAGCCCTATACTATAGCATATTTTCTTTTCTGGAAGAATTTCTGAATAAAGTCTTCTTGCTGTTTGAGTATCAAATACTCCTTGACACTCTATCCCGTAGTTTTGGACAATGGAGGCACAATCACCGAGATAGTCATGGAAAATTTTTATGATGTATGGGCTTTCAAAAACTTCTTTTAAATAATATAGCAGGGATTTCTCGGTAACTAGGTCGATGAGATAAGTTTGATCATTATAATAGAGCTGTAATAATGCCATTGGCCATCCATGTGCAATTCCTTCACAATCTATCCCTAATACTATCTCTTGAGAGAGATTTATACTGTTATAGAGCAGCATTTGGCTAAGTTTGTCTACATCTTCGACACTCTCAATTATCGCCATTGTTTTTAAGAGTAATATTCCAATAATACTTATGTATATTGGGGTTTTGGGGTTTTGGGGTTTTGGGGTTTTGGGG